AAACAATTTTCCCCTGAAATAAATTCCAGTGAAAATGCCATTTCCCCTCATACTCTATTGAGACACAGCGCAGTGGAAAATTGGATTCACATGTAATGCTTGAAAACATGTCAGCAAAAATAAATTAAGTGAAATTATACGCGTCTTCATAATAGTTGGAAATGAACAAACTACACCCGACCCTACCACTCCATATACAATGTAAACTACACCCCAAAACATCCTTTCACCCACAGTTACTACCGTGTTTCACCAGTGTATTCTATTTGACGTCAGGAGAAATTGAAATAAACAAATTAATTATAATTTCAGCCTCTAGTTGAGCACTGATTAAATAAACTACCTCGTCTTTATGTCAACTTGCAGTTATTCGTTGCCTACATCAGTGATTTCAATCCCAGGAATTTCACTCGCTGTTAATTGCATGGGAGTGCCAGTCTTTAATGAATTTCTATTGTCATGTCAATTTCTTGCGATTACTCGAACATTAAGCTGTAACCACATACCGCCTAGGTGCTGTAACTAAATCCTGGTTAGGCAGGCTTGAACTATGCATGTGAAGCCAGCTGTGGGGTATATTCAATCCTATAGATTTCTCATTGTTTGGTAACTATTTGCTGCAAATGCAACAAAAATCAATATAAAAAATATTACCCACACAGCATTCTACAGGTTACTTGTATTATGTAGATATTATTATTACTGACGTTAAAACATTTTTCATAACGATAATGATTAATATTGCTTGTTTATCGTTCTAGGTGAACAATGACGATGACTTTGCTATACCGTACTGGGACTGGAGTGGTGCACCCAACTGTGAGATTTGTACTGAAGAATATATGGGGAAGAATTCGCCTTCTCCGCCTCATAACATCCTAGGCGAGTTTTCTGGATGGAAGGATCTATGCTCTGATTTTCAACGTTTCCATGATATTGGCTTGATTTGTAGTAACAACGAGGTTTCGAATCTGCCGAGTATTACACGAAATCCCGGTGGTGACAGTCTTTTAGACGAGTTGCCTTCTCTAGAAGCACTTTATTATACGTTGAGTATGACTGATTATGATACAAGACCGTTGGTACCAACATTGAATGTGTCGATTACCTCTCCTTGTAGTTTTCGGAATATTCTAGAAGGTATAGATGTATGTTATTCCTCGTATTTAACAATATATTCGTCAAAAGATGTAGATATGTAAACCTTGTCATTATTTAAATATGTATCTTTAAACAATTAAATGTAATAATTCAATTTGTCATTAATAATTGTATTTCCAGGATTTGCTGATTCGGAAAGACAGAGTGGTCTGTTCACACCATTTGGATCACAATCACATAACCAAGTACATAGTTACATGAACGGTACAATGGGTGTCGTGGAAACGTCTCCAAATGACCCTATGTTCTGGCTGCATCACTCCAATGTAGATAGAATTATGGAGAAATGGATACGACGGTAAGTGTTTCTCTCGTCTTCACTACATACTTAATAATGCTTTGCCATACATGTGTATGCATTCATGTGGTATGATTGAGGACTATATGTAATCAATATAGCACAAACAAATCACGTACGTTATCTCTATAGTGAACAAAACAATACAATACTGGTCGAGTGAGGACGTCGTTTTTAACGCTCTGTCCGTTTTGCCAGGTTTTGGCGTCAGTAATACTGTGGCGGCATGTCTCATGGGTTGATATGGTCTCTGCGCTGGCATTGACATAGGATATTTACACGTGCAAGTCGAACCTCTGAAAATTGTTTTATGTACTGTACTCCATTTGTTACCAGACCACTGTATTACCAACGCCTTAGCTAACCACGGGCGTGTTATGAGCACGGTGGGAGCAATCCCACGTGGGTGTAAAAACAGCACTAAAACATGTAAAGTCTGTTTCACTGCCTGATTTATTTTCACTTACAAAATCTGAAAATGTCTGGCTTATTGCCTATCACTTTTCAAATACACATTGTTTGCGTTTAATCTACAACAGATATGAAACAGGTGAAAGATAATTTGAATGACACTGACGAAGTCGATGACATAACAGATAAAAATGTCACCGGTTATTGTTATACAAAATAATGAGACCCATGTTGTAACATATAACACTGAAACAGATATGGTTACTAGTCTTTCTAAGAATACGGCTAACAAACGCGTGCGTTCGAATTCGCAAGTTAACAGAGAAAAACAAAATGATGACAACACAAAAGATGAAAATATGACTGAAATAATTTTCAAAAAGCGCAAAGATGGAAATGAAATAGAAATTGATGAACGAAATAGCCTTTTCAATCCCCTTCGCCCTCCAAGCCCCTTTCACACTACTCGCTACTTTCTGAAGTCCCTCTTGATTTAAGAGGATAAACGCATCAGTCATAAGACCTTTGTTACACATCAGATCACACTGAATGTAGCGATAATGAAGGGTCTACGGTCTACTATATTTCAACGCATACTAGCAGTGATGAAACAATCATATCAAATGGAAATATCAAAGAGATGTCGGTGTCCGCGTAGACTTTCATACAGTCTCTTTTATTTATTTTTCTCAATAAAATAAAATATGAGAGTGTATAAATGGCGAAAGTCGGGTTACTGTTTACTTCGCGATAACCCGGCTTTCGCCATTTACACTCATATATAAAAATTCATTGAAAAATAAGACTCAAAAATAAAAACTGTATTCAAGTTTAGTGACCACACCGCACCCTCAAAAGTGCTTTGAATGTGTATGCACCCGTTAACGGCGCTGAACGTATGAAATGTGTTACTAAGCTTAACTAACAATTTATCAGTTATTTGAATTATGAAAGGAGATTTTAACTGAACTACTCAATGGCAATTTTCAATCGAAATATTAAGTGAAGGTTTAAAACTGATTGTAAATATTCACTTGTTATGAAACAATTGCCTAGGTTGAACAATACGTGGTCAATGGAGAGCGCGCTGTGACATATCCAGGATAACGCACTTCGCTTTTTTCTATAAATATGTCAAGTGCCGGTAAACTTGCTGGATTTCTTCTTGCACTTGGATATATATGTAATATTACATATGTCAGTGTCATTTCCGTTTCCATATGGTGTGAAACTTTGAAGGTGTTCCATTATAGGTTTGCAATACAAACAGTGGTTAGGTCACTTAGGAATTTGAATGTCTGTAGACATAAGATATTGTTCAAATGGTCAATCTATTGTTATGAAAAACGGGAACACTGAACATGAAAGCAGAGTAAATGTCAGTAAATATGTTCACGATTTATTAGCGCAATGATGGAATTCAAATAGACTAATACAACTTACCCAGTACCTAGTTTAATGGTATCTAATTTTACATAGTACTAACTATTGTTTTCCGTAGTTACAACGCAAACACGACCCACTATCCGAAGGACAGCACACCAGTAGGACACGATGCGGATTCATATATGGTACCATTTTTCCCAGTAATGACAAATGGAGAATTCCTGCAGAAATCACAAGTATTCGGATACACATACGACAATATAGATTCACAAGGTGTGAATATAAAACTTTGTTCAGTTATGCGACAGCATCGATTGTATAGCATTTTAATCTACAATTAGTTGTCCAATAGATTTAATATTGTTATGTGACATTGTTACTGAATATACATTATAAATTCTGTTTTATACAAAGGATATTATTTCACGTCGCATTTATTTCTATTTTAATCACAGGCAAACCGGTTAATAGACGTGAGAGGATAAGAGAGGGGCGTGCCATTAATGGTATGCAAGAATGTGTAGTGCCAATACTTGATAACGATCTATATTGTAAGTATTATTGATGACGTCATTTGTTTGTATTCATCTATGTGATATTAATGGTACCAATTGTATTTTATTATGTATTTTGTATTATGTATTTTATTATTTATGTTATTATGTATTACGTATTTTATTAGGTATTTTATTATGTAGTTTATTAAATTTGGATTTCCTATTGAATAGTTTTTAGTAGCGACCCTAAGGTGATGGAGGCGGAAGTAAGCGCTATTTTGAGTATGGCACCTTGGAAGGCCTTTCCAATGCAAAGTAAGTAATAATTTTTGTGTGAAAAATTCTGATATCTAATATGCAAATTAGACTATCTATCGCAATATTATATTATGACTGTTATCGAAATATATGTGTTTAATTTCATAAGTGTGATAACAGCATATTGATGTGTATCTATGGAAATAACGAAACAAGACATTTAACTACAGCTTTTGTGGGTAGTACTGGTGACTACGAATATGAACGGTTGCAGTCAGACGGGCAAAGACCCAATTATGGTAATGAACGAACATGTTACGCTTATACACTAATAAATAAGTCATATTGTTTTGTTCGTGGTCGTTCGTCGTTCGGTTATTTAATATTTGTTTGTTTGTTTGTTTGTTTGATTCTTTAGATTATTGATTATGTTTTACTGTTACAGATAAAGACAGAACGCCAATAGCAGGAATGATGATCAGTGAAGTTCTCGTAGTTGGTCTACTTGCCGTTTCTGTCGTGTTTATCGCTACAAAGGGACGAACTGTTTACCGCCGTTATAAGGGTTATCAACGTATAACAGAAAATTAAACAGAATAGCATTTACATTAAGTTTCCGAATATGCATCTGAAGATACGGATAACAATGATATAATAGTGTGTTAATATATGGACTATAATGTGAATGCAGTGTGACAGTATTTAAAAAGATAAATTGAATGTGTATAGAGCTTTAAAATACAAAATATATAAAATAAAAGAAGTGAAATAATGTTTATAATTTGTATTTATTGTAAATGTATTTTTATAATGTTTGGAGAGTGCTAAGCTTTATCGATCACATGATTTGTCAGACCTAAATGAGCCAAAGATGTATATTGTATTGACCTAGAAGGTCTTGGTCAGTCTACTGTTGTATGCCCGGGGGGGAGGCTGAACGCAAATAGAACCTTTCTTGAGTAGTATGGTTGAATTTACTTCAACTTGTGATATCATTCAGCCATAATGATTTCAAAATAAGTTACCTAGTCACCGGCGCCATTGGACAATAATGATTACAAGAAGTTGTTTAACGCCACCGTTGTCGTGAATTAGAAATACAATTTTGTGTGCACAATGTATTTTTCATTCTGTTGGAAATAAGCCCTGCAATGTGTCAATGTATTGTTAACTTTATACTATGAATGTCAACTGATATTCAATACAAGCCCTTCTCCCCAATTTAGCGAATTTTACACTCGTAGATCCGTTAGACTTGTCAGATACAATGTACATACTGGACAGTTGTGATGTACGACATGTGTATGTTTTTTTAAGGTCAATCCTAGCGGAGGGGACAACGTCCAGGTTATACTAATTCACACGTAATATTTGTTTCCCATAAATGGAATTTGTTTTATATTGAATCCACCATACGTTTAACTTACGTCTGTCATCTGACAGATACGAAGAACCACAGGCACACACACACACACACACACAGACACGCACACGTCAACTAATTTTAAGGACAATCCTAGCAGAGAGGACCGCCAATAACAGGCAGGTCACCGTCCATGATATGCACATTCACACGCAATATTTATTTCCAATTAATGGAATTTGTTTTATATTGAATCCAACATACGTTACGTCTATCGTCTGACAGATACGAAGAACCATATGTTCATGATGATTTCATATTCCAAAAGGGTCCACTAGCAAACAAAAAACTCAAATTGTTTACGAAATAAAATAGTGCTATACGAAATACAAATCTAGATGAGTTGAGTAACTAATTCTATGATGTTTAGGTGTTAAATTGTTATTTAAAGGATTGCATCGCACAATTTTTGACATATCATATAGCTGTGCGAAGGTATTGTGACTGCCGAGTAATAGAAGTCAATGTGATTCCGTACTGCAGAAAATACACATTCCTGACAACACTATCAATAAATATATGTATTCCAGTCTGTTTTCATAAATGCAAAACATATTCGCGCAAGTGCGTTTCGTACGACCCGGACGCTTGATTATACTTTGCTCGATTCCATATGTTTTATAAAGCGCGTCGAAAAACAGTTTTATGTGAGTGTCCACGAACCTGCATCTGTGCTTTGTGAATCACAAACACTGACTCAAACGCTGCATACGAACCTGCATCTATGCTTTGTGAATCACAAACACTGTCTCAAACACTGCATACGAACCTGCATCTATGCTTTGTGAATCACAAACACTGACTCAAACGCTGCATACGAACCTGCATCTATGCTTTGTGGATCACAAACACTGTCTCAAACACTGCATACGAACCTGCATCTATGCTTTGTGGATCACAAACACTGACTCAAACACTGCATACGAACCTGCATCTATGCTTTGTGAATTCCAAACACTGACTCAAACACTGCATACGAACCTGCATCTATGCTTTGTGGATCACAAACACTGACTCAAACATTGCATAACTTACTTGCATTTGTTACTTGTGTCTATTGGAAAGATCCAATGACTATACAATATGACTTTAATCTGATTCTAAAATGTGGCTCAACAAATAGTATCATTCTCTAATTAGATCCGACCAATTCATTGTTGCACGGTCGGAAGCAAGATGTATTATTAATTTTAGTATTAATTTGATCCGATTAATGATTTATTTGCATACCGGTAAATGTAATCGCACGTATTAGAACGTGTTTGTGATTGTGGGCAACACAGTTATAGTAGTCTGCATATTGCAAATGTACGAAGCCGATGGAAACGATATAGTTATATATTCAGCCATACAGTGCCGTATCACGGTTAATTTACAATAATACAAACGTCTGTTTCATTGTTTTCATATTCTCATTAATAATTCACACCACGGACATTGAAAGCGTTCGCAAAAGCTTGGATTTTAGTGATAATGATTTCTATCTGTAATTATGAGTTTACATGTGCGGTTGTCAGTGAGTTGTGCCGGTGCATAAATAACTCTAGGCAATACGTTCTCACAGAAATTGCAGATATGATTTCCAATCACAATAAGTGAAAATAAAAATCGTAATGAATAAATGGTATATTTTAAAAACAAGCAAGCGTCAATCACACATAAGCTTTCCGTTAGTGCGAGGAATTGGAATTGTTGTCATAGTAATATAGCAAGGTGTGTCAGCCGTATATGTGCTAAAATGTGACGTCATGCTTCGAACGCGGTGGTATTTCACAACTTATAATGCAGCAGTAATTTCAAACTTAAGTATATAGAAAGGATTGATTCAATAATGACAACAATTTTTTTATTGTTCTTGTATTTCATTCATTGAATAATATACACTACTAGATATTATATTCCAGTTGCTTACAATGTATATATATATTTAGACGTAAACTTGGGAATCTGATAACTGACATCTTGATAGGCCGCAACACTAGTGTGTGGGTTTAGATGAGTGTGCAAGCCCTTTTGGTACACATAGTCCTACCATCATTGCAGAAACTGACAAAAGAAAAACGTAAAAATTGCAGTTAATCTTGCTGCGGTTGATTTTAAAGCGGAGGAGTCTTCACGTGCGCATGCGTCAGATGGCCATGGCGTGTCATTGTTTTCAAACAAGCGTCTACCATGCGTTTTTAGCGTGTGTTGTTATCGTCGCAAGGGACTTCCTCGCGTGCGCAGGTGACGACCCTCCCGATTTAATATTAAATCACTGATGGACGTACAACCAGATCATACACAACACATTCACACATTTTTTTTCTAATATAAAATTGTATACTTAACTCACCATACGTTACATCCATTATCTGACGGAAAAGAAGAACCATGTTCATGATGACCTTCAGGTCCATTGCAATCCTTGGGAGGTTTCACTAGCAGAAAACAGAAACAATGATATAATAATCGACATAGTTAACTGCGGTAACGCGCCTCGCAACTGAAATGAGTGAAACCAAAAAGGGAGTCACCCTAGTGTTCAAAATGTTGAAACATGAATTTTGAGAATTAAATTTGCTTTAATAACCAGAATAAAATACACGTGGTATTACATGATATATCGACAATATTCGATATGAAACTTACCACCAATAGGTTGTAAACACATTGAAGCACATCCGTTAGAGCAGCATTTCAGTTCGTTGTCGCATTGAATGTCACTGTCACATTCATGGATACACAGAACTCGGGTCAAGTCGCTGGGTGGTTTCAGATTTGGACACTTGCCTGGTTTTTCTATTAAATTATACATAACGTCAGAGAATCGCATTGAACATTGATAAACATTGCAGCACAACAGATGATTCACATTCAATCATACAGTCTCGTAATCGGTATTAAAATACGCTTACCATTACAGTCGACTTTCTCTCCATCGTAAAAGAATTCAGCATTGCATCCGCCACAGTAATTTGCTACACATTCGGCGTAGGGATACAACGGGCATTCTTCAACTGTACAAGGATCAGCAAAGCAGTTAACAATTGTACCACCGGGACAAGGATTGCCTGTGTACAAAAACTATTATTCAGCAACAACAAAAATAATACCATGGTTTTATCTAGTTCTAAGTTTTAAGATGAATATTGAGTTCCGTGGTTGATTTGTTTAATAACATGAAATCATTCAATACAATAATGATATATAAACTACAATGCTTTCATCAAGTTCCAAATCTCTTATTGAGATGAGTACTTTGTGGCATTTTATATTGTGCAGTGACAATTAAATGCATTTCTATTAAATTAGGCAATTACCACCACAATTTTTTATAGTATCGAGGGAGGGACAATAAACGCTATTTTTAATCACGTTCAAAATTCATATCCAATTTATATTAGCTAATAAAAAAAAAACATTTTAACATAAACCGATATACAAATCAACATATTAGTATTCCAGTTGACTTTCTCTGTCTATCAATACAGAATTCAGCATTTCATCTATCATAATGACTTTCTATCTAGTGTCTGACGCAGTGGGTAATCAGTGATCTGGCGGGAATCAGAGAAAAGGTAAAAAATAGTATGACCAGGAAAAGACAATTGTCAATGAACGCAAAATACCATACTTTTATTTAAATCATATCATATCATATCTTCATATCTTGTTTTGGCAATATAATTTAAATCATTGGTGTTATACTAGGTATGTCAGTGCTCCTTCTTTTTTTACCTCCATGTACTAGGTAAGAACGCTAGTGAATACACATGAATACCCATCTATTGTCACCTACCTGCATTCTGTCTCTTCGCTATGTCAACAGCTGGTGCCTAAAACAAAATAAGTACACAAATAAAAATATTATAATGTTAAAAAGTATTCTTATTATGAAACCATTCTTATCTTTCAATTCTCAAATAACATATATATTATATATCTATAGATGTACTTACTGTTGCGGCGGCGACAAAGACAACGACGACGAGAACGGAAAGTATTCGAAACATGATAAGTGGTAACACTGATGGCTCACCAAACAAATTCTACTTATATATGTTGTATCGATACAAGTGTGACGTGGCAGGTTAAAGTTCAAATAATCTGTGAATAATAATATTAATATTAATATTAATGGTATGTTTCACTGGACCTGAAAATACATGAATAATAGATATGTTTACTCAGCAATGATTAAAAAACAGCCTTACTTCACTTTATTCAAACTATTAGAAAAATCCAATTATCATTCGGAGAACGAAATTGCCACAGAAAGAAACAAACTTGAGAAACAATATCAGAAATAAATTTGAATTTATCAGTGAGTAGATATATTCAACATAGAAATGTAAATTTTGTCATTAAAATTACCAATAAAACACTATTAAATATAAAAAAAAGAATTTCCTCTTTAAAATATTCTCTGTTTCTCCTTTTCAAAAGCTCAACACGTGTATTTTAGTGTAGATAAATACATTACTATTTGAGTATTAGTTTTTTAACTAAAATTATGTAAATGTTTGTTAAAATAATATCGACCATACCTAACGCTTTCGTTGGTAGGTGTATGTTTAAATACTCGCTGACTAAACTCCCTCACCTACTCATACACTCGTACTTATGTAATAGTGTTAGTAACCGAATGTTCTACGCCTACACATATACAAATCTGTCAACACTGTCTTTGATGGCAAACATTTCATCAGTGCCATTATCCCTGGATACAATTAGGCATATGGCATTTTCGTAAATGTAAATTTACCTAATTACACGTTATTCGATGGGATGATATTATTGTTTATATGGTAATGGCAGTAAATCCCATATGGTATATAATCTCGGTGCAACAAAAGTATTCAATTCATCTTTATAAATACTTAAAAATAATTTCATTATTCAAACCGAAGCGAGAGGTTTCTATTGAGTTAGATTGGAACGTTTCCAAATGACGTCGTTGCGCCCTTGTTCGCTGATTGGTCGATTGGTTTGATTCAACTGCCATTTAAAGTGCACCATGGTCTCCAGAGGGAAAACTATGAAGGGCTGAACCTCTCTTTCATAGCCTTTCACTTAAAATGATGTTAGTTCGTATGAATATACACCTGCGATTGTTAAAATGTACCAATAATCAATTTTAAAAAAAACGAAATTACTTGCCGCCACTGTACCAATGTTGGATAATATGTCTAGACTCCTGGTGAGTGTTCCACGGTTTTCTTCTCATGTGTGTCAGAATACGTTCAATCAACATGTTGAGTATCAATATCGGTAACACTGAGAAGTTCCTTGACAATTCACATGAAGTCATCAGTTCGAGCGAATCAAGTGTAACGATTCAAAAATAACGTATTATTATCGGATTTGTTGCAGTCTTTGTGTCACGTTTATATTTGTACCTGTTCTCAAACTAATTTATATGAGAATCGCTGGAAGTGTGCTCCGAAATGTCGCCACCGTGTCACCTGTACGTCGTTCACGACATTGTAGTTTCGAAAATATTACATCCCATAAAAATAAAACACGAAGGTACTGTTGATTAGATGGGACAACGGGTGTACTTTTGATAATAATTTAATATTTTTCAGTAGTGTCATTGTGCGACTAGTTCCATATTTATTAGTGTTGTGGTGACAACAATCAATTCTTCGAACAATATTGTTTATTTATGTAAAAGTTGATACACTTGAGTAATTAAGTTTGAATTAATTGTGCCTGAAAAAAGTGTGGTAGTGTGCTTTATGTTGTGGAATGATAAGATTGGATACCATGATGATTGGGTTAGGTATAAGCAATGTATTTTAAAGTTACAACTGTGTATTCGTTCATCATTTAAAACGGCCTTCATTTCATCAAAAAGGTCTTCGTCACCAGAGGGCGCTTTCAAGCACCACTTTCAACAAAGTCACACTCGTTAGTGAATTGATAGCGTTGGCCTCTCATCCGGGGTATGGGGCGATGGCACATTGTGAAAACGGAAACGAAAGATTAAATATTAAAACTAGTCAAAAACGACCTAAATAAGCCAAAATTAAACCAAGACTGATAAGTTTCAGTATATTCATGGCGACGTTTTCTCAAACAAATATTTAAAAAATGTTATCGTCCAATGTTATTCTTCGAGGTTCAAAAGTTGAAAAGTTCAAGTACTTTCCAAATTATATACGTAAAATTAAATAACTCAATGAAATTTAAGAACAATTACAAATTGCATTTGGGGGGAGATTTGAGTGCATTGTTAAATTAAAGAATTATTAAATCTACCTTTTTATCAATAATTTGTTTTTTAGTCGTATTTATTGGACTGAAAACCTTTTAAACTAAGTGACATCTACAAAATAAATGAATGCAGAAATCCCCAAATAGATCATTATGCATAAATGTCGTCCCGTACAAATACTTGTTTATTATGGCGTGATGCCATACCTCAAAATCGGTAATTAAAATGTAAATAAAATAAATGAATGTTTATTTGATACTAAATGTAATGTAGTTGGCTAATTACATGTATAAGTGTATTCAGACTAATTTATTCCTATATGTCTACTTTTGCCGTGACGGTCTTTTGAGTGATATGTAAGCTACTATAACTGAAAAACGCCACAACGCCCGGATGACAAACTGTTTTGTACATGATAAAATTTCAACTTGAAGATTGCCGGGTTAGCAAATGTCTAATCTCACTTTTACGTCAGATTAAAAAGAGTAATTTAGGATGCATTTCATTGCCACGGGAACCCCTTCAGCCATTACAGTATTGGTATTGTAATTTAGTATAATATTAAAATTAAAATCTGAACGTATTTAATGGTATATGTTTAAGTCATTATCCTTGTAAGCGCAAGCCGAGAGCTACGCTCACCTTTCAACTTTGCACTTTGATGCCAAACAAAAGGGCATATAATAAATAAATAAAATGGCGGCCGACTTTCAACTTCGTACAGTACTATTAAGCACCTTGTTCTTCAAATGCAGTGGCCAGTTCCCGAAGGTATGTGTTTCACCAGAATCACTGTCAAGTAAGGAATGCTGTCCACAACCAGTTGGTTATGACTCGAAATGTGGAGGACCTGGTAGAGGGGCGTGTGTCGATCTGTCGCCACCAAAAGCCGACGACTCTTCGCAATTCGGTGGTGATCTCGACCGTTTGGCGTGGCCGAGTACATTCTTTACACGTGCGTGTAAGTGTGACGGTAATTTTGACGGTTATGACTGTAGTCAATGCAAGTTTGGTTATAAAGGAACGGAATGCGACAAAGAAAATCGTGTGACCAGACGAAATATCTTGTCAATGTCTCAGTCTGAAGTTAAGAAGTTCCGATCGTACTTATTAAATGCTAAAGACAAAATAAGTGACTATCAGATAGCGACAAGTCTTTATATCGATATGTTAAATGGTGATAACCCACTCTTTAATAATGTAAACGAGTATGATCGTTTTGTGTGGAACCACTATTATGCAGCGCGAGAAAATATTCGACGACCTGCCGGTGTGAATGACGGTAGCACTATTATCGATTTTGCGCACGCTGGACCCGCCTTCTTAACCTGGCACCGGGCGTATCTACTCTTATTTGAACGCATGATACAACAGGCAAGTATAGAGGGCATTGACCTCTTCTTTGGTTTTATGACCCGGGAATGATATTCAGTTAGTACGCGTGAATAATTTAGGAGTCAATTAATTGATACGTTTTGTTATAATTAAAGCGGGGGTGTCGCCGCCTGCGCATGCGTCAGTGGCCATAGCGTGTTATTGTTTACAAACAAGCGTCTACCCATGAGCCTTAGCGTTGTTAGCTTGTGTTGTTATCATTGCTTGATGACCCTCTCGCTTTAAGCTGTCAAATTATTCCCGGTATTATTCTTATACTTGTTGTTAATACCTGATTCTAACAAACTCATGGATAATTACGATATGGAATTACAGTATAATATTGTGTTTATTGGATCCCAGGTCCTGTCACGGTCCCATATATGGGACATTAGAAATTAGCCAGGATATATTGTCTACCTACTTTACAAATATAATCAAACACACAGGATATAACTGAACACCTTTTAATTAATCTTTTAAATATATTTATTTGACAAACTTTTTTTTCATGTATCTTGTACATTTCCGATGTGTTCTATCGATTTAAAAACAATTAAAAAAATGTTGGCTGTGTATTGCTGATACAAGTATTTTGAGGTCTAATAGAATCGGGAAATCAAATATACCTAGAATTTATTCAAAACAAGTTACTTTTGGACGGGATCCAATGGAAAGTAAGTCCTACAGGATGGGGAAAATAAGCAGGTGGTCCAATGGGAACCACTAGAACTGTTCTTATTGATTATTATAGGGTCTGTGATTTGTGATTGCATTATGAACACTTTGTAAATATCTTGTAACACAACAGACTTTTAATTTGATGAACTCACATAAAATCTAATTTTTCTAATAATATACTAAGTACACTATTACACTTCTTTGCTAGTAAAAGTTTTCCTAAATCATGAAAAAATATGTTCTGGTGTATAACAGTTTTTTTTAACAATGGTCTATAGGAAGATACCAAACCATCGATACAATTTTTAAAAAGGCACTATAATGCAAAACTGCATTATATGGAAATAATAAGATTACAATTTGAAAATGTTTATGAATATAGATATTAAATATGGTAATGTACCAGACTTGGTATAAGGTGATGTCGATATACACATAAGATATCAACATATATATTATAATTCCAGAATTATTATAACATTTTCTGTATGTGTCATATTATTTAGTGTTTTACTGTGACATATTTATTATTATGTTAATCATATATGTAATATTTATCTCTAAAGGTGAACAATGACGATGACTTTGCTATACCGTACTGGGACTGGAGTGGTGCACCCAACTGTGAGATTTGTACTGAAGAATATATGGGAGAAAATTCGCCTTCTCCGCCTCATAACATCCTAGGCGAGTTTTCTGGATGGAAGGATCTATGCTCTGATTTTCAACGTTTCCATGACATTGGCTTGATTTGTAGTAATGTCGACAATTCGAATCTGCCGAGTATTACAAGACATCCTGGTAGTAACAAGGTGTTGGACGAGTTGCCTTCTCTAGACGCACTTTACTATACGTTGAGTATGACTGATTACGATACAAGACCGTTGGTACCAACATTGAATGTGTCGATTTCCTCTCATTGTAGCTTTCGGAATATTCTAGAAGGTATTACAAATATTAAACAATGTATATAGCGCTTTATTTTATGTGTCCTTTATACGAGATGTTGAAATGTTCGAGTTACGAACATCGACTTACGAAAACATCTAGTTACAGAAATGACCACACCCATATATTTGAAACCACGCCCACTTCTGTGGTACCACGCCCAAATTGTAACTCGATGTTCAATTAACAGTTGACAGAGTTATGGTCAACATATATTTTGGTGTTTGTTGAACGTTCACATCCAGTAACTCGAACATTAAATAACAGTTAATCAAATTTCGAGGTACGGGCAACATTTATTTTTTGTTTTGTTTAACTTTCAAATTTCGAGTTAGTAACTCGAAATTTAATTAACAGTTAACGAAAGTTTGAGTTGTTGTTTAATGTCTGCATTCATTTTAATTAACAGTAAACGTAACTACGAGTTACGGCAACATAGATTGTTGTTATTATTCAAACATCCACATACCGTCTTTCATTTTTGACCACGCAATAAGCTTGCTTGTTTCAACTTGTCAACGTCCAATGGCGAGTGTATTTCAGTTTCGCTATGTGTTTGCAGGATTTGCCGATTCGGAAAGACAAACTGGTCTGTTCGCACCATTTGGTTTACAATCACAGAATCGAGTACATAGTTATCTGAACGGTACAATGGGAATTGTGGCATCGTCTCCAAATGACCCTATGTTCTGGCTACATCACTCCAATGTGGATAGAATTATGGAGAAATGGATACGACGGTTTGTAAATACCAAGAGTTTAAAATATGATTCCTTCGCTTATTTTACTCATTGTATGTATTGGTGTTTACACTGATTTGACACAATCTGCAATGACACTGATTGATAATTTTAATCATATTGGCAGTGGACAGTTTCAGACCATGACCAAGCACGTTCTTTTAAACGTATGTGTTAGAGTGAAATATAATCTACCCCGGTATCCAGAAAAGCAAAACGATGAGTAAATAAAACATTTTTCTAATTGTCTTGTAACCCAACATTACGACGTTAACTATAGCTATTTTGTGTGTTCCCTGTAGTTACAATGTCAATACAAACCACTATCCACCAAAGGACAGCACACCTGTAGGACAAGAAGCTGATTCCTATATGGTACCATTCTTTCCAGTAATGAAAAATGGAGAATTCCTGCAGAAATCACAAGTATTCGGATATACATACGACAATGTGGATTCAGAAGGTGCGAATATACGTATTCTCCTATCAATCGGGACAACATCGACTTATTAGTTGTTATATTTTTTTATTTCTTTTAACATGATCCCAACCAAAAATGGTTTGTAAATTAACATTATATATTTACCATTCTTGACCAACTACATTTGCCAATGGCTTGTAGGCATATTTGCTATGTCTTTGTCAAATGATAACCACTCACACTGTAGTTGTATTGATTGATAACAGGTAAACCTATAAGTGCGCTTGAAAAAGAAAGAGAAGATCAATCCATTGATAGAATGCAAGGATGCGTTCTTTCTCCCTTGGATGCAGATCTACAGCGTAAGTTAATGCCATCATTGCTGATTTCGAGCTGTGTTTTTGCTTACATCCATATAAATACATTGGTGCTGATGAAATGTCACATTTGTTAAATTTTTTGGAAAATTGTTATATAGGCTTACATACATTATCACTAACTTTCTTATTATAATTCAGTACATAAATAAATAAGAAGATAGACATTCTCAACGTTATTAAATTAAATATAATTGTACATTCTAATTGAATATATTGAATAACCAACACGTTTACGAGTATACGTTAACCTGTGGTTAACATTATTTTTTTAAACATGTGTACAATGATTTTCAAATGTGCGTAGTGTTTGATTCGACGTTTTCTACTTCTGTGCTCAAAATGTGTGTACTTTCATTATTATTTTCTTCACATAAAGTTGACCTTGGCATTCCTGAGATAACCGCAATATTGAATTTGAAACCTTGGAAAGCGTTGAAAATGAAAAGTAAGTACCTCTTGAAGTGATGTGTTGTTAATGTGCATATTTCAAACATCCATATATACCGTAATATTTTCACAATTTATTTGTTTGTTTCACTATGGAAACTGTGCACTTACCCAATATACCAAATGTATTGAAATACCAGTAATTATTAATTTCGGTCGAATGATTCTGTTTCAATTTGTCGAGCCATTCCCAAGTTATTCATTACCGGACATGCATACCGATAATCATATTACAATATTTATTGAAATGCATACAACCAGCTGGAACGATTGTCTTAGACGAACTTTTATTCTACTGATCTGTCGTCTTTTTACAAAACATTACAATAGTTGTTGTACTTCACCAATACATGATGGGATAAAACTGAACTTATTGTTTCAGATGTGAACAAAAATGATGGCAACGATGTGTTTAAAACGTTCAACCATCCATCAGCTGATCAGCAACACAGCGACGGTAATTATCGAATACAGTATATTAATTACATATATCAATGTGCGTGATTCAGACGATTCGTCGTTTTTGTGTATACTGATACACTCTAGTGAAATTGAATTACTAGTAGTCCCTGAAATTAGAATAATGAGTCGATCCGAAAGTGAAAATCAGAGACAATTTAGCTGATGATTACTATAAAGATGGTTGATGTTGATTACTCTAACTGTACGATGTCACACTACATGTAGTTATCAAAAGTGTCGATAAACATGCGCCGCCCATTTCGTCAGGTGTTCTGAAAGGGCTGAGTATGTTTGTCGTATATAAATTACAAGACAATTTCCGCTTTGAAGAGTTTACACAAGAATATTATAGAAAAAAGATATATACATTGTATTTAAGCTTGTTATTTGTCTTGAATTATGACTGAAATAAGCTTAAATGAGATTACAAACTATGTAGTGTTCAACAACTTACGTATGAACAGTAACTTTAATAAATATGATTTTATTTGGTAAAAATATTGTATTTTCCTGCATAAAAACGAAAGAATTTCACAATGTCAAAAATGGAAAATCTTTATCGCAGTGTTGATTGTGCATGACCAAGCTAACAAACTGATACCAAAACATGCCTAGCAGCAACATCCTATCAAACTAAAGTTTAGAATCAAATATTTGCTACTTGCTATTTTACTTATATTTAATTTATTTTTAGGTGCAAGAAAGCCGCCAACAGGAACCATATCTGTCGCAGTCGTTGTGATAGTCCTACTCATTGCTTCATCAGCGTTCATCTCTATAAAGGGTCGCAATGTGTATCATCGATATAGGGGTTATCAACCCATTAGAGAAATGGACACGGATAAGAAATTGTAATATTTACATTTTGTATTTAACCATCAGGCTGGATACATACATTTGTCATTTATATTTTGTCTGTCCAAATATGTTATTACAAACACAGAAATATAGTTATAAATCACTGTAATTGTGTCATTGTGTCCTAATATTTGTCTATCTTTTAAGTGATATATGGTAGGCAATAATCGGAAATCGTTGTCTAATGTAACTTCAAAATTTCTAAACGTTTCGGGCTTTTTCGGTAGTATATGAAAATTTGTAAATAAGAATTTCTTGTTTTTGTTTTACTTTTGTTGGTATTTATCAAACGAGTTAATACTTTGGAAAGACCATTTAGTAGTTGATTAATGACGGTACATTAATAATATTTTTTTATAAACTAATCATGCTACGATTTGTTACATATTTGAGTGATAATCATCTTATTATCCATATACTATTTACAGCCTCATGTCTTTCATATATGTTGTTCACATAATTTACAATAGTAACCAATAAACGTGAATTGCTCTCGTTGGTATTCGATCAAATAAATTAATTTATATTTTTTTTATGAATTTTTCGAAATAAATGCTATTTTTCACATACTTCTCTTAGCTTTTTATTATTTTTTTGAGTGGTGAATGCATTCCAATAGCTTGAATTCTTTACGCCGGATTTCTATTACAAAAGTGTTGTATATATCAGGTATGGTCCACAATCATTAAAGGGCAGCGGTCGTCGCACCGCGTTACAAAAATGATTTAATAATTATCTGTCATTTAATAATTAATTTAAATGCAACAGTCGTTGCAATGCGCCGTTGCTGTAGAAAGCCGGGGAGCTGGCGTAAGCAGCACAAACACAACTTTGCACTTGTAGGTGTAATCTTGTTACACTGTACAGGAGAGTCTCAAAAACTTTCCCAAAATACAGTTTTCTGAGAGTTTTCACACGTTTTTATCATCGGTAATGATTGCCAGGCCATGGAAATGCCTGGTTGTTCGCTCCCAAGAATACATTATTGTTGTGCACGAAATTAGAACGTGACGGCCCATTGTGTAAATTTCTAATTCTTGGTTACAATTTTAAACAGCAAATGAATACCGGTAGTTTATGTTCATATGACTGAGTCTGTCGTTGAGGGCGCATACCTCATGCCGACCATGTCACAGACACATGTGAAATAATTGCTTGTACCTCAGCCACCTAGTTCATTTAGGTTAGTTTCCCTAATGAATTAACAAATTCAATTCTATGTGAGGAATTTCAATAAGTTTTGAGTTTCAATAACCTGTATTAGCGATGCTTTTCTATGACATAGATCAACGCAGATGACAGTGGCAAGGTGACGTTTTGAAACAAAGTTGTGTACATTCCATCAATACAGCTACATAATATTGGAGAGGTACCAATTGCATGGTCGTGCCAGGAAAGATCCAATCACAATTTACTGTCTGTCGTAATGTGCACGTCCATCTAGACGACTAGAAATGTGTACGCTGGAAATCCAATATAAAATCGTACGTGGAAATATATATTATATTCAAAACAAGTCACTTCGCGATGAGCGTCTTTTGCGGTCAGTAATATTTACGAAAATTGTTGTACATTATTGGCGATCCGCTCCGCTAGGATTGCCCTTAAAATCAATTTTGTGTGTCTGTATGTGTGATTTCCAGTGTTTTCAAGTATTAATTCTGTGATTTTTTTGGCTTGGCCTATTTCCCTCAAACTTGGCAGGCAGGTCACACCATCACACTAGTTATTAGGTAAAATCTGAAAAAAACTTGGCCCACCGTTGCCATAGTAATAGCCAAAAACTGTTGTTTTTTTTTTGGATAACTTAGTGTCAAATGTATCTCCTCCTACAAATTTAGGATAAAACTCCTCAGACATAGCTCATTCTTCTCGGCTTGAGTGTGGGCACAAAGTTGAATTTTTGATATCTTTTTTTATTGCTTAGAAATTTTACTTTTCTGTGATTTTTTGGTTGGGCCGATTTGGTTCAAACTTGGCAAGTCACACCTTCACTCTAGTTAGGTTGTAAAATCTAAAAATTCTGGCCCACCGTTTCCATGGCAACAGCCAAAAAATATATTTTTTGTATACCTTCTCGCCCTACAATTCTAGGATTAAGTAGCTCATTCTACTCAGCTTGAGTGTGCATAAATTTACTGGTTGTTTTATGTCTATTTTCATTACCGAGAAACTTGACCTCAAAGTTGGGGTAACTTTTCACCAGCGGCTTTTAACCATGCCATGGCAACAGCCAGAAACTGATTTTTGAATACTTTCGCCCCAAATGTATTACCTACTAGCAGTCTTGTAATAGCAGTGTATATGATCATGTTTGTTTTTATTTTGGCTACGTTGCACACTGGTAAGAGATCACCGGCCCCAACATTGTTACACTGTATCAACGTAATCCCAACGCAACTTTGAACTATGAATGAACTGTATTAAATGCTGCCTTCAATCTAGAAAATACTATCGCAAAACGGTTGGAAATAATAAATTTAACAGCAGAATACGTCCTAGCAATACAATAAAGTGACTTATAAAGACTGAACGTTTTTTTGCGAACTTCGTATACGGGGCCCGGTTTTAGTTATAAACCGACGTTAGCTTCACGTTCATGTCCTACCATGGTAACAGCCGAAAACATGATGTTGCTTGTTTTTGAGCAAAGCAGATAGCCAACCAGCCTACCGGCTTGTTTTATAAACTGGCTTGGCAATTCCCACCACCAATTAGACCATGTCACAGCATTTCGGCTACTTTTCCAACAAATCCAAAATCACTCGATAATTTTGTGTACTTTACATTTGTACTACTATATGATTACATTTTAAGTTACGATAATTTTAATGCATACATGTACACTCACAAAAATACCCCAAAATAAGAGAAAATATGATATAGCCTTGATAAAAAGGCATTATTTTTCCTTGTCTTAATACTGCATTTTTTTATATCTGTGTAACTTCATGTGGATATCCTGATGAAATTTAAAGTTCAGTTCACAACTGACGGTTTTACAATATTAGAGGCTGTGAACTTGTCCATGGAGGCTGTAAATTAATAAATATTGTATTCACTGACATTTATTTTGTATTTACATTTGTAATGAGTTTCCACAGTATCTTTTTCTTAATACTGTGACTGTGAACAGTAACTTGAAAGTACTTGTATACTTTGTTATCCAGCATCATAAATATCAGATTGTTCGGAAGAATGAGATTGTAAATTTCTTTCATTAATTTTGTAAGATGACGCTTTCTCCGGGGCCTTCAGAGTCCCATGTTGACTACTAGTATGTCCCGGTCCCTTTACTCAGGGTAAGGTAACTCACTTGTTGTCAGTGTCTGAGTGGTATATACAAAATACGACCAAGTAAACGTCAGAATATTAAAAAAAAATAGAAACCTAAAAATCAGTTGCCCATGCCAAGAGAGCCGCAAAACCAAAACAATCTGTCGGCCGTCGCCGTCCACAGCAGAAGAATCGCATGTGTAGACATATTGCATAGAAATGAACACTTAATACATCTATCCCGGCCAGCAATCGAATCATTAATCTTCATGAGTGATGTAACTGGCATTTCCTT